TTTTTTTTGCAACCAAAGGAGTAAAGGTTTGGTTTCAACTCTTCATCCCATTCTCTACTATGTTTCAGTAACTCACAAACCCATTCTAACCTACCCTATCTCTTTGAAAATGACAATTTGGTTTGAAGGTAGGATTATTAGGAATCCATGGGGAATACCAGATGTTGATATATTTCCCATCTCCTACTTGGTATCTAAGACCCTTACTCAGCCCAACTAGCTCTTTCTCAACCAAGAATCCCCATATCTTTTATTAACATTTAAAAGATTCTCTCTGAAGAAATACTTACCCCTCAAGGCTCTACTGACTAATAAGTTAGGGTGATAGAGAACCCTCCAGAGTTGCTTAGCTAACAAGGCTTGATTAAACACTTCAGATTTTTTTAAACCTAACCTCCTTCCCGCAATATGTTTAGGTTTAGCTAGGTTGTTTCACTTAACCTAGTGAAGCTTATTTCCCCCAGACTCTAGCTTACTCCACTAGAAATTAGAAATCTCTCTACAAAGATCTCTCCAATACAGAAGAGAGAAGTTTAAAACAAGACATGGCATAAGTAGGGAGAGCTCTCAAAACGGTCTTGATTAAGATTTCGTAGCCAACCTCACTTAGAAAACTTTTTTTTCCAGCTACTCACTCTAATTTCAACATTTTTTAATACAAAAAGACATGCATTCTTTTTATATCTGCCTACACCTAAAGGAAGGCCCAAGTACTTGGAAAAATCTCACATTATAAATAACATTCAAGATCCTACAAATGTCAGCTTTGTTCCTAGCTAGGTATTTTCGGATAAAAGGATGGTCGACTTTAGGTTAAATAAATGATTAGAAGAATAGCCATAATGAGCAAGAACTTTCAGAATGATGTTGGCGTGAGACACATCAGCTTTGCAAAATAAAGCTGAATCATCAGCATAAAACAAATGCGAAATAACATGGTTATTTCTGCTGCTTCTAATGCCTTTAAAGGAAAGATTTAAATAGGCTTGCTTTAAAATATTAGATAAGGCTTTGGACAAAAAACTGAAGAGGTAAGGGGAAAGAAGATCGCCTTGCCTGATTCCCTTTTAACGGTTTAACAAACCCCAAAACCTACCCATAGAACTAATGCACAACCAAATCCAATGGATAAAAACATCACAAATACCCCTCTTCTTGCAAATTCTAACATAAAACAACCACTTAAACCTATAATAGGTTTTTGCCATATCTAAATTAACAACTGATATGGGATATTATATGCTAGACCGGTTCGTCAGGTGAGTCGAATAAAATAGATCAGCAAAGGAAAGAAGGTAGCCGGCGAAGGAGAGCAGGCTCGGTACCATTGGATAAGCACCGCCTGCTCGAGAAGATAATCGAGGAAACATGGCCAGATGGGTGTGGTCGTAAGATCAACCACCCCATACCTGAGGAACAGGTCGATGCTCGTCGAAGATTCGATCGAACATCAAGATAAATAGAAGAGCTTCCAGCACGTGAGGAGGAGACATGCTGCGCTTTATGAATGGCCTGCGGCTGTAACGAACTCTGACATTCTCTGACAGATTCGACGCGTTCACTGACATTAGAGATAGTGGGAGCGCGCCGTCGTACGGACGAGCAAGAGGACAGCTGGCAAGACTCGCCTAAGTCGCGCGTGTAGAACAGGTAGCTCGTCCCTATAAATAGGGACGAGGATCCTCATTTTTAAAACAATCTCTCATACTCTCATATATTTACTGATATACTTTCTCTCTCAAGATCTGACTTGAGCGTTGGAGGCTCTTCACCGGAAAACACCTTCGGTGTGGGAGTTTCGTGCAGGTTCCGCGTTCAACCGGTGAGGAGAACGAGCTTAGGGCGACTTCCAGCCGGTCGGGGTGCGAGACTTGTATTATTGGCGCCGTCTGTGGGACTTCTCATTCAAAAAGTTGTGTTCTGAGCTCAGCTATGGCGGACGGAGTCCCTCGAGTGAATTTGCAGTCGTCATTTGATGAAGCGTGGACGACGACAAGACCAATAGGAGCAGGTCCTCCACCCAGATTCTCTGGACCATCCCGAACACTGGTGACCCCAACGCCGATGCCCTAGAGTACAGCGATCCCGGGCGGAGGAGAAGGCACGAGTAGGGAGCACGAGGCTCGTGAAGCAGCACCGACGGCAGTCCTCACGCCGTTGCAAGCAGGCCCGGTTGTGACGCAACAGGTTGAACCAGCGGTACAGGCAGTGGTGCCACGACAGGAGGACCGCCGCAACCCCCTGCTCAACAAATGGTGACCATGACGAGTGAAGAGATGCAGAGGATGATGGCCAACGCGGCGGCACAGACTGTGCACCAGGTCACTCACCAGACGTCCCAGGCTGCTACCACACCGACCACGGTACCAGGAACACAAGAGGAGGATGTGTCGAGTTATGGCGGAGGAGGCGAACACAGAGATAGGGCAATGGAGAGGATGGCCGAGCAGCTCAGGCAGCTGCAGGAGAAGGTGGAAGGGAGGCCGGACAGGCGTGCTCGAGGACACCCGTTCTCGAGGGATATCCTAGTTGCACCACTGCCTGCGAGTTTCTGGGAGATAAGTTTGATTTTTGATGGGTCGAGCGACTCGTCGAGGCATGTGAGAGACTTTGAAAACATGTCCGTTTTGCACGGGTATTCGAATCCGGTCAGTTGCAGGGCTTTTCTGTCGACCTTACGAGGAGGCGCGCTCGACTGGTTCCACCAATTAGCTCCCAGATCGATTAAAGACTTTGAGGATTTCGCAGAACAACTTACTAATCAATATTCAAGCGCGGTCGCCCAGGAGAAGACATACCTCACTTTGATGGCGATGCGACAAGGCGAGAAAGAGTCCCTGCAGAAATATGTTGCTCGATACAATCAAATGTGTTTGGAGGTGCCCACGGCGTGCGACGAGGTGAAGGCAGGAGGATTGATTAGGAGTCTGCGACCAGGAATATGTCGAACGTCACTGGCAAAGACGTCTGCTCGAACTTACGATGAGGTGCTTAAGAGATGCAAGAAGTACATCAATTTGGAAGAGACAGAGGCAGAGTTCGCTAAACTCGAAGAGGTGGCGAGGCCTGATAAGCGGAAGGAAAAGCCGAATTCACCCAGGAGAGGATCACCTAGGAGAAACCCCCTAAAGAATGGCTCATCCAAGAGAGCGTCGCCCAGGAGGGAGGGACGAAACCCGTTTCACGGAGGGCGAGAGGACCGCTGGCAAGGGCGACCTCGGTTACCCAATGGTCAACGATATAACACTTTCACTCCTATTAACGCCCAAATGGGCGAAGTCCTGGCGGCCATCGAGGAGAAGCTGGAGAGTAAAGAGGTCACGTGGCCAGCGACGAGATTTGAGGGGCCGACCAAGCCTAGATCTGGTAAATACTGCAGATTCCATAGGGATTATGGACATAATACAGAGGATTGTAGACATTTGAAAGATGAGATTGAGCGCCGCATAAGGGCAGGACATTTAAAGGAGTTTGTCATTCGGGATCGACCACGAGGAAAGGAGAAAAGGAGGTGCAGGGAAGATTCGGTAGCAAGGAGCGACAAAGACGATGATAGAGAGGATGACGATAGGGGGAAAAGAGGAGCCGAGGGAGTGGTGCTCGAGAGGAGCCGAGGGTGGAGATACCAGCAAAGAGGGGCACAATCTATATGATTTCTGGAGGACCCACAGATGGGGATTTAAATAATGCGCGAAAGGGGCATGTGCGAGCTGTAAAACGCAAGAGAGAGAAAATCGGGATAACTGGTCGAATGCCTATAATTAGCTTTCGAGCAGAGGATGCAGAAGGGATCTTATTGCCCCATAACGATGCGCTGGTTATCACGACGTAAGTGGCTGGTTTTGATGTGAAGAGGGTGTTTATCGACACAGGAAGCTCGGTCGATGTGATGTTCTATGACTGCTTCGCGCAGATTAACAAATATCTGAATTTGGAATTGAAACCGGTAGCGACGGCCTTGTATGGTTTTAACGGAGGAGAGGTAATGCCGATGGGCGAAGTAAGTCTAACTGTGGCGTTGGGATCGGGTGATATTAGGAAGGTGAGGATGGTGCGGTTCGTGGTAGTAGGAGCAGAATCGTCCTACAATATCATATTGGGACGGACGGGGTTGAACGCATTTCAAGCAGTTGTGCTACATACCACATGACGATCAAATATCCTGTGGGTGAAAATGTGGGCGAGATTGTTGGAGACCAGCTCACATCGAGGAGTTATTACCAAACCACTGTTAGCAATAACAAGCAAATGGCGAGGAAGCAAGCGAAAGGAGGGGAGCAACGGCCCGATCGACCAGGAGGATCGAGGTCGAAAGAGGAGAACGGACGTCAAGACAAGGGAAAGGAGAAAATGGACATGCAACCAGGGGGCGAGGTGGAGGAGGTCCAAATGGTGGAAGGGAAGGATGATCGAAAATTTAGAATTGGGAGAGAGCTGGGAGAGTCAATCAGGTCGAGGTTGGTAGACTTGATAAGAGAGTTTGCGGATATTTTCGCATATACTGCGGAGGAATTGACAGGGATCGAGGCCAAGATAATCGAGCACCGGCTGAATATCGATCTTAGTGTGAAGCCGGTAAAACAGAAGACGAGACATCATGGAGCGGAGATGGACAAAATTATCGAACAGGAGGTCGAAAAGCTATTGAACGCTGGGCACGTTAAGAAGATTCAGCTCCCTGAGTGGCTATCTAACACGGTAATGGTATCCAAATCGGGAGGAAAGTGGAGGATGTGTATTGATCTCCGTGATCTAAATAAGGCTTGCCCGAAGGATCTATACCCGTTGCCAAGGATCGACCAGCTGGTGGACTCCACGGCGGGATGCGAGTTGCTCAGCTTGATGGACGCCTCACAAGAGTACCATCAAATCCCCTTGGCAAAGGAAGATTGGAAGAGGGTGAGCTTCATAACAAGCAGAGGCACCTATTGTTATGTGGTCATGCCATTTGGACTGAAGAATGCCGGGGCCACTTACCAGAGGTTGGTCGACCAGATTTTCAAGGACCAGTTGGGGAGGAATATGGAGGTATATGTCGATGACATGCTGGTAAAGAGCAAAATGGAGGTGGACCACGTAAGCGACCTGAGAGAGACTTTCCCAACACTGAGAAGGTTCGGCATGAAACTTAATCCGGCTAAGTGCTCATTTGGCGTAAAAGCAGGGAAGTTCTTGGGGTACATGGTGACAAAGCGGGGAATAGAGGTGAATCCCGAGAAGGTGAGAGCTATGATCGAGATGATGCCACCAGCCAGTGTGAAGGAGGTCCAAATTCTAACTGGTCGAATAGCGGGGCTGAGCAGATTCATTTCCAAGGTAGCTGAGAAGAGCAGTCCTCTGTTCAAAACCCTCAAGAAGAGCTCGAAGTTTCAGTGGACGGAGGAAGCCCAGAAGGCCTTCGAGGAGCTACAAGAAGTGCTGGCGAACTTGCCCTTACTAGCTAAGCCAACACAGGGAGAAGAACTTGTGCTCTACATATCGGTGGGCGAGAACGCGGTAAGCTCGGTATTGTTGCGAGAAGAGGGAGTGGCACAATTCCCAATATACTATGTTAGTCGGGTGATGCAGGGAGCAGAGTTGAGATACTCGGAAATTGAGAAATGTGCATTGGCGGTGGTCGTGACGGTTCGAAAGCTGAGGCCATATTTTCTAAACCACAAGGTCAAGGTGCGCACAAACATGCCATTGGAGCAGACTTTAGGTCGACCAGCAGTATCTGGTCGACTAGTGAAGTGGGCGGTCGAGCTGAGCGAGTACTCTATAACATATGAGCCAAGAAGGGCAATCAAAGCGCAGGTCTTGGCTGATTTCATACGGGAGGGTACGAAGGAGGAAGGAGACGAGGAAGGGGTGTGGGAGTTGTTCGCAGACGACTCAGTGTCGAGGAACGGGGCTGGCTTGGGGATAGTCTTGATTTCGCTCAAGGAGGATTACTTAGAATTTGCCGTCAAAGTAGGATTCCGGGTATCAAACAACGAGGCGGAGTACGAAGCGGTTATAAAGGGGTTACAATTGGCTCTGGCCGGGGGTGCTCGGAAAATCCAAGTCTATTCCGACTCCCAATTAGTGGTCGGTCAATTTCAAGAAGGGTTCGAGATCAAAGAAGATCGGCTGCAGCATCATGTGGACAACATGAGGAAGTTGAAGGAAGAATTCGGGTCGTTTGAATTAATACAGATACCTCGGGGGGAGAATGGTCGAGCTGACTTGCTGTCTAAAATTGCGCAGAATTTGGTAGATTGTAAGAGTAGGAGTGTGACCCTGCTCCACATGGAGAAGAGTGCGGCTGAAGCCGAGGTGGCAGAGATCGAGGAAGTAGAAGATTGGAGGGCCCCAATCCAGAAAGAGTTGCGAGAAGGAACCATAAAGGTGGTGAGGAGATTTTTCGAGCAGGGTGGGGTCCTCTACAAGCGATCATATGCAGGTCCACATTTGAGGTGTGTATCAAAAGAGGAGGGTCGGTATGTTGTACGAGAGGTGCATGAGGGGTTCTGTGGCGATCATAGCAAAGCCGGAGCCATGGTCGCAAAAATCCTAAGAGCAGGGTACTTCTGGCCGACAATGAAGGCGGACGCTAAGGAAATGGCCAGGAGATGCATGCAGTGCCAGAAGCACGGCCCACTCATACACCAACCGGCGGAGACGATGACCACGATGAGCGCGCCAATTCCGTTCGCGCAATGGGGAATCGACCTTGTAGGGCCAATGCCACAGGCGACGGGGCAATGGAAATTTTTAATTGTGGCAGTTGACTACTTTACGAAATGGGTGGAAGCTGAGCCGTTGACCAAAATTACGGAAGAAAAAGTGATTTAATTCCTTTACAATAACATTTGTTGTCGGTTTGGGGTCCCTAAAGTCCTGATATCTGATAATGGAACTCAATTCAACGGCAAACGGGTAAGGGCATGGTGCGAGGAAATGGGCATCGAGCAGCACTTTGCCTCTGTCGCCCACCCACAGGCCAACGGGCAGGTAGAGGTGACCAACAGGATCATCCTAAGCGGACTAAAAACAAGACTGGAAAAAGCTTCAGGGGCGTGGGCGGACGAGTTAACATTCGTGCTCTGGCGTATAGAACCACTCCAAGGTCGACCACCGGCGAGACGCCCTTTAGCTTGGTGTATGGGATGGAGGCACTTTTACAAGTTGAGCTGGAGCTACAATCCCAACGATCGAGCACTTATAACCAGGAGCAAAATGAGGAACTTATGCTAACTGCCCTGGACACCATTAAAGAACTTAGAGAGCAAGCCTCGACCAGGGTTGAAGCATACAAACAACGGATGAGAGCAGCACATGACATGAAAGTGAAGATCCGCCGATTCCAGGTGGGAGATCTGGTATGGAAGAGGGTAGATGTGCTCAAGCATGTGGGAAAGTTAGAACCTAATTGAGAAGGTCCGTACTTGGTCGAAAAGGTTCATGCAGGAGGGGCATACTCGCTGAAGGACGCTGAAGGCAGATCACTGGCCAGGTCGTGGAATGTAGCCAATCTTAAAAAATATTATGTGTAAAATTTTTTCTTCTCATGTTCGAGCAGTTGAATCGCTGTAATCCTCGTGCGGCAAATTATCAAAACGGTCGATTTCTGTATTGAAATGTTCCTCCCTGCCAATGTTATTAATTTGTTACAAATATGATTACGAACGAACGCCATTTGGTTTATTCAATGACGTTGTGCATACTTTATATGATCACAAGAAGACGCTCACGAGGAACGCCGATCACTCACGCGATCTTCCTCCTTAAAAAAAGATAAAAGTCCTTCGTTTATGGAACACCCCGATCGAGGGGTGGACGAAGGTCGCTTGTTTTCGGTACACTCTAAGGGGTGGGCATGTGGTCGACAACGTCCATGCCACCGGGCTGGACGACCACAATGTTTCGGAACATCCCCTAGGGTGGGCAAGTGACAAGACCAAAGTCCTTCGTTTATGGAACACCCCGATCGAGGGGTGGGCGAAGGTCGCTTGTTTTCGGTACACTCTAAGGGGTGGGCATGTGGTCGACAACGTCCACGCCTCCGGACTGGACGACCACAATGTTTTCGGAACATCCCATAGGGTGGGCAAGTGACAAGACCAAAGTTCTTCGTTTATGGAACACCCCGATCGAGGGGTGAGCGAAGGTCGCTTGTTTTCGGTACAGTCTAAGGGGTGGGCATGTGGTCGACAACGTCCACGCCTCCGGGTTGGAAGACCACAATGTTTTCGAAACATCCCCTAGGGTGGACAAGTGACAAGACCAAAGTCCTTCGTTTATGGAACACCCCGATCGAGGGGTGGGCGACGGTCGCTTGTTTTCGGTACACTCTAAGGGGTGGGCATGTGGTCGACAACGTCCACGCCTCCGGGCTGGACGACCACAATGTTTTCGGAACATCCCCTAGGGTGGGCAAGTGACAAGACCAAAGTCCTTCGTTTATGGAACACCCCGATCGAGGGGTGGGCGAAGGTCGCTTGTTTTCAGTACACTCTAAGGGGTGGGCATGTGGTCGACAACGTCCACGCCTCCGGGCTGGACGACAACAATGTTTTTGGAACATCCCCTAGGGTGGGCAAGTGACAAGACCAAAGTCCTTCGTTTATATATGGAACACCCCGATCGAGGGGTGGGTGAAGGTCGCTTGTTTTCGGTACACTCTAAAGGGTGGGCATGTGGTCGACAACGTCCACGCCTCCGGGCTGGACGACCATAATGTTTTCGGAACATCCCCTAGGGTGGGCAAGTGACAAGACCAAAAGGCCTTCGTTTATGGAACACCCCGATCGAGGGGTGGGCGAAGGTCGCTTGTTTCGGTACACTCTAAGGGGTGGGCATGTGGTCGACAACGTCCACGCCTCCGGGCTGGATGACCACAATGTTTTCGGAACATCCCCTAGGGTGGGCAAGTGACAAGACCAAAGTCCTTCGTTTATGGAACACCCCGATCGAGGGATGGGCGAAGGTCGCTTGTTTTCGGTACACTCTAAGGGGTGGGCATGTGGTCGACAACGTCCAAGCCTCCGGGCTGGACGAACATAATGTTTTTGGAACATCCCCTATGGTGGGCAAGTGACAAGACCAAAGTCCGTAAGGAGCACACATCAACATATTGGGCGACAATTAACTGTGTATCGTGGAGGACATCGAGCATAAAGTTAAGAGCAGCAAGTGGTGTCTATGGTTTATCATGTTATGGGGCGACAATTAATTGCGTATCGTGGAGGACATCGAGCATAAAGTTAAGAGAAACAAGTGGTGTCTATGGTTTATCATGTTGTGGGGTGACAATTAATTGCGTATTGTGGAGGACATCGAGCATAAAGTTAAGAGGAGCAAGTGGTATTTATGGTTTATCATGTTATGGGCGACGATTAATTGCGTATTGTAAAGGGCATTAATCAGCATATTCATAAGGAACACACATCAACATATCTACAAGAAGTCATAATACAAAACAACACAAAACAAGGAAGGTAGAAGCATCACGCAACACGAGGAAAATGAAGTTAAAGCTTTCATTCCATAACAAGTACAAAATTACAAACTTCACTAGAATAAAAGATGCAAATACATTGCCAAACGCATAAAAACTACTTCGGGGGAGCCATGGTAGACGGAGCAACGCTAGCCGACTGAGCAGCGACGGTACAAGATGATGAGGAAGCAGCCGAAGCTTGCGCAGTAGTGGCGGAGGACATGGCAGCAGCAGTCGATGGAATGCTGGCAGCTGACGGAGCAAAAGCAGCAAATCCTAGCTGAGCCGCTGTGGTCGAGGAAGCAACTGTAGAGGAGGAAGAAGCAAGGGTGGTCGAGTGTGAGGCGACATTCGAAGAAAGGGAGGCGGCAGCAGAATGAGCGATGGCCAAGGCAGATGGATGAGAGATGGACGATGGAGCATTGGTGGTCAAAGGCTGAAAAGGAAGGACGGCCACTGCAAGACGGACCAAAGGCGCCTCACCAGGCCTAGGCAGGTCGAATGAGCTCTTCAAAGAGGGATCCCCCACTAAAGCCCTCTCTAAAGATGCGGCCCACCAAGGATGATCGGCAGGCAAGCTGGGGTCACCGGTGAAGCTAGAGGGGGCAGAGGGAATCGCCTCCCACGTTTTGTCCTGGTCAAGCTCGCCGGTGAATCCCATCTCCTTCAGCTGGCGCTCGACCTCCTCCATGCTGTAGGTGTAGAAGTCCATCCCCATCTCAGCAGCCTCTTTGAGGAACGCCGTCGAGCATAGATAGTCTTTGATCAACTGCTCCCGATAAGCCTTGAGGAAAGCCTGACTGACTTGGGTCCTCCACAAGGCTCGACGGGACTACTCGATCGCAGTAATAGCAGCGGCCTCGACTTTCTTCTTTCGACCAGCCCGCTCTACCTCAAGAGCCTTGTCCTTGCCCTGCAGCGCATCCTTATACCGCTGCTCATCCTTTTTTAGCTGCTCCGCCAAGGCGTGGCGTGTCTTGAGCAGGTCCTCGTTCTCGGCCCTCAACCTCCTATTCTCCTCCTCGAGACGCTTATTGTCGCCCTCGAGCACGGGAATTGGGCGACCAGTGCTATTCATCGTTTCCTCGAGAAGAGGCACGATGGAGACCAGAGTCTGTAGTAAGAATAAAAATAAGTACAACACAGGGCAGGATGCTCAAAAATAATGTTAAGAAGGAAATGTACATGCGTCACTGCACGAACGGCGTATTCGGCCTGATTACGACAATTCATGTAATATCCCGATATTTTAATCAGTATAAATTACGTTTAATTCTGATATAATAATGTTTATCGTTTATTATTTTCGGAATTAATTAAGTTCAGTTGGAATTACCGAAATTGATTTTCGACGTACCGTTTACGTTCGGAATAAATTTTGGTACATAAGCATTATGTTTAATTAATGATTAAACATAATATAGTGATTAATTAATCACTAATCATTTTTCTAGTATAAAACCGTACCAAGCTTCTTTAATATTTATTGAGCCGTAAGTATTGGAACATATTGTACCAATTTCCACAATAAAACCGTAGCTTCCTTTGAATTGAGGAAACTAATTTTCTTTCATGTGTTAGCACAAAACGTGGCATTTGGAGAATTAAAGTGTGGTGATTAGTAATCAATTTAATCACCTAAGTAGCTAACAATTGGAAAGAAAAGAGGAGACCACGTCTCCTAGACGTCACCATATTTCTCCACGGCCCTACTATTTATAAGTATGAATGATAAAAAATTTTCCCCATCCTCTATGCTATACGTAATCAACGTATAAGCTACCATTCAGCAGCAAATAAGTCCCCTCAATTCCTTAAGTTTTCGCCTCAATAACGCACGGTAAATAAGTACACCGCACGGAGTACGCACGAGGAAAGGAGACCACGCCTATTTTCCAATTTCGATCGTTTCAGCAGAGAAGGTAACCTCTTATTCAACTCATGTTCATGTTAATTAGGTTACCTCAAGGTTAAATATTATTGTCGGAATTTCAGATTAAACCGTGCATATAGGCGAGCATGTTTAATTAAGAGTATCACCGAACAAGTTTCGATTTATTCCGGCAACCTTCGAACTATTATCGTTTAAATAGCCAGTTAGTTGATTTCATGTTCAATCATTTCAGTCTTGTTAAGATAAAATAAAGTTTGGCTAAAGAAATGACCCCGGGCCGTTGTCCGCGCCTACCGCGCATGGCCACGGGCGATCGCGGACTAAGGCTTAATAAGTTTAGTATCAGTCATGTTCAGGCCGTGTGTTTCCATAGTAAACTGCTTCATATTAATGTTCAGTTTGATTTGTCTTGAAGTTGCCGGAGGAAAAGTTATTTCGGCCGAGAGACGGCACATAGCCGTCGGCGGCGCACGGGAGTTCGCCGCGACCCTTTCATGTTCAATATGTGTTTAGTATATCTTCAGGTTTTAATATGCATGTTAAGTAATGTTTAAATTCAGTATGTTAAGATGGTCGAGATCTTGTTCGGTTTGGTCGAGGATTGGCCGAAGGCCGTAGGCCTCGCACATAGCGAGCGCGCCACGGCCGAGTGTTCGGTTCGACAAGTCAATTCAGCCATTTCGTGTCAACCTCAGTTTAATGATCATATTAGGTCATAACATGTTAAAGTAAGTCAGTTTGGTCGGAGGGCTTGCCGGACGGTCGGCAAGGAGTCGACCGTGGTCGCGCTGCCGCACACAGCGGCAGCAGCACCTCGGCCAGCGCCCAGCGTGCCAGACAGCGCGCGCCAGTGCAGCG